AGACGATTTTCTAATCTTTGGAGTTTCCTATGAATCCTGCCTTAATAATGTTAGCACAACCATTCGGTTTTTAAGCTCATTGGGTCTTATCATCAATAACAGCAAAAGCATTCTGGTACCCACTACTCGTATAAGATTCCTCGGCTTTCTGATAGATAGTGTTAATTTAACAATTGAACTTCCTGCCGAAAAGAAAAATCACATCCTCAGGTTAGCCTCATATTATTTGAACCAATCGAGATGTAGAATTCGCGACTGGGCAAGGTTCATTGGCACCTTGGTGTCGGCTTGTCCTGGTGTGAAATACGGGTTTCTTTATTGCAAATCTCTAGAAAGGGAAAAATTCTTAGCTTTAGAGAAAAACAATGGAAATTATAACGCAAGTATGGCTATTCCTGAAAACATAAAGAGCGATATTTCATGGTGGAAAGATCACATTTCAACAGCTTTCAATGACATAAGGTATGATTCCTTTCATATCACCATCTTTACCGACGCATCGCTAACAGGATGGGGGGCTTGCTCTGGCCAGGATAGAACCCACGGTTTCTGGTCCGACTCCCAAAAACTATTGCATATAAATAATTTGGAATTATGGGCTATATTTTACGGCATCCAGTGTTATGCAAAACTTTTAAAAAATTGCAATATTCTAATTCGATGCGACAATACAACAGCCGTTTCTTACATTAACAGAATGGGGAGTGTTCGGTTTCCAGAGCTATGTTCTCTGGCTAAACAAATTTGGCAATGGTGTGAGGAAAGAAATCTCTGGCTTTTTGCATCATACATCCCATCTAAAGATAACGCTATAGCAGACGATGAGTCCAGGAGCTTGAATTTTGAAACGGAATGGTCATTATCTCAAACTGCCTTCGACCATTTAACCGACATCTTCGGAAAACCAGAGATCGATCTTTTTGCCTCTCATACCAATGCGAAATGCGAGGTATACGCTTCCTGGCATAGAGATCCAGGATCTACATATATCGATGCGTTTACAATTCGCTGGAACAGTTTTTATTTTTATGCATTCCCCCCTTTTACCTTAATTCTCCGAGTTTTACAAAAAATAATTCAGGATAAGGCTGTCGGAATTTTGGTGGTTCCTTGGTGGCCTTCACAACCTTGGTACCCACTTTTCCGTCAGTTATTGATCGACCAAGAAATTCATTTTCCCCCTTCACCTGATTTACTATCTTGTGCGGTTTCCAGGTCACATCCGCTGTCGAAAACCCTTACCCTGGTAGCAGCGAAGTTATCAGGCAAGCGTTTTTGAGTAGAGAGGTGCCGGAATCTGCTATTTCTACAATCATCGCCTCAGTCTCCAGATCCACATTGCAGCAATATAACAGCTCCTACAAATTGTGGTGGGAATTTTGCTTTAGTAATGACATTTCGATCTTTAAACCCACAATCAAAGACGTGGTGTCATTCTTGCAAGAGTTGACAAAGAAGAAAAACCTCACGTCTGGCACTTTTAATTCTCATACATCTGCTCTTTCACTAATTTGCTCAACTGATTTAGCATCCAATCCTATAATTAGACGCTTCAAAAAAGGCATTCATCGTTTACGGCCTTCTCGGCCAAAAATATTCGGCCACCTGGGATCCTATACCTCTCCTAAGTTATCTAGAAAAGTTACCATCTCCACTTAGCCTCCAAAGTCTGTCACAAAAATTGACAACGTTATTAGCTCTAATAACAGGAGAAAGACTCCAGACAATTTCTCTTATTCGTCTTTCACATACCTCCCATGGTCCCAGCGAAACTACCATTAATATTTCAGACCCAATTAAAACCAGTCGAATTGGGAAACCTCAACCAACCTTGCATATACCGGTTTTTCAACAAAACCCTTTCCTGTGCGTAGCCACCATCCTGAAGGAATATATTGACAGAACAGCTAGCTTGAGAGAACCCGACAACGATTTTCTATTCGTGACATATAAAAAACCACATACCAGGGCGTCCAAAGACACTTTAAGCAGATGGGTAAAACAGACTCTTGCATCGGCGGGTGTCAACACAACACTTTTTTACGCCTCATTCAGTCAGGCATGCGGCTACCTCAACGGCGTTAAGAAAAGGCGTTTCCGTAGATAGTATATGTAAAACAGTTGGTTGGACGCAACATTCCACATTTGCAAAGTTTTATAATCGTCCTTTACAAACCAACAATGAGTTTGCAAATGCCATTTTGGACATAAATGCCTGATTAGTTAGAACAGTTTAAGAGTTTGTGACGTACTTTAGGTACTCTAGTTGTTTTTTGAAAAAATATTACTATTAGGGTAAATGTTAAAAATTGACCCCTTGTTTTTTGCTTTTGTTTATGAGAATGCAGAATATATGTTTTTGCCTTTTTGTGTTTGTATACTTGTATTTTTTATATCATCAACTCGCTCGCAACTCTATCTCATCTTTAAACATCTACATAGTGAATAAACAAAGTGATGTCTTCGGACTGGACCCAAAGTATAATTGATCGATCAAACGAACTTACCTGAAGTGAAGTTCGATCGTAATTATACGAGGGTCCAGTCCGAAGACATCACCCCCACCCTATATGCAACCCTCCCAAGTTGCGAGCAAGTACCATTTCTTTAAACAAATGATTCAACGCGAGTGGCCAGGGCGCGGCGAGGAGGTGGGGATTCTCGTCTTTCAACTTGGTGCGCGGATCGTACTCCAGGGGCGGACTACATAGTGAATAAACAAAGTGATGTCTTCGGACTGGACCCTCGTATAATTACGATCGAACTTCACTTCAGGTAAGTTCGTTTGATCGATCAATTATTAGATATTCCACGGCACCGTACGGCTTTATTTACTCGCTCTTTTAGGTATAATTGTGTCAAACTGTATAACGTGCTACCTGATGCATTCAAAAATTTATCTCAAACTAAATTTAAAGTTTGTGTCAAGCAGCATTTGCTATCAAAAATGACTCGTAGTAGTAATTAAGTAGTAGTTTGTAGTTTAGATTAGTAACCTGCCAAAAAAATTTTATTTAACGTGTTGCTGAATCTATTTATATTTTCTATATTATGCCTTACAATATTTTTGTTTTCCTTTGGTTAGCCACTGTATATATATACATGTTAATTACATGTATTTACAGTGGTTCACAACCATGAAAATAATAGGGTTAAGTGGAAGAGTAGCTATTTAGCTAAACTTCGCCCGATACTATGTAAATTTATGTAATTTATAAATAAAGACGATTTATTATTATTATATATCTTGAAAACTCTGAATTTCCAGACCCAAGTCTATAAAAACTTTTTTTTATATTTTTTTAACAAGGAATCACCCTCAAAAATATCTCTGTCTAGTTTTCGAATACCCTGTATATTGTCAGAATGTTCTTTACTGTGAACGTTTTAATGACAAAGGTAATCTTCTTGAGTAAAATGACCGCAAAATTGGGACTTTCCTTCACACAGCGTATAAATTTTGGAACAAACTGGTTTGCATAGTAGCATATACACGAAAGTCTTAAGATAACCGAGACATTAGGCACCGCAAAATCAATAAAACCTAAGTCAAACCTAATCGTCAGTACTCAACCCAAGCGCCGGTAGCGTAGGCAAGCAAAACGCTCAAATTACCAATCGGTTAAAAAAAAAACATGGCACACTCTTACGGCGAAATCGAACATGATTCTAATTTATGGTGAGCGTCTTCAAAATGCCAGCGAGAGTTCGTGAGTATATGCAGATCATTTTTCCAGACGTTATCACTTAGGGCCGCGTGGATCTTCTACTATATTTGGTCCATTATACAGGTTGATTGACTTCCGCATTAGACCTCCTAACATACCCCCCCCCCCCCTCCACCTTGGTCCCTCCATATATTCTCATTAAAACAAAAAAATGAGTATTGAATTTGATAAAAGAAAATCCTTCAACAAGCGCTAGGAAGTAGCTAGGCAAGTGCAAGTATCCAAGACTAGAGTGTGGTGAGCGCTACGTGATGATGTATTGTGTGCTTTCGTACAAGCCCTTCAAGCTGAGAATTTTCCTGTAAGAGTGCGGTTTTGTTACTGGTGGTTGCAGTCCATATTAGTCACGGATGAATCAAGCTTCATGCGTGTGGTCACTGGAAAATCCTCACGTAATCTATCGGTTGCATTTTCAACAAACATTTTCTTCTAATGTTTGGGCTGGCATGGTAAACGGTATGCTCACTGAACGTTTTCAAAAACGGTTGGACGGTTTACAATTTCTAGACTTTTTATAAAACATTTTACCAACAGCGACAACTTCGAACAGTAGTTATAAGTGGCAGAGCCGTACCTGAGACTCTCTGCAAATGAACTGTGAGTAATTTTTCATTTATTCATTCTTTTACTTATTCGATACTGTTTTATCACACACCACCTTTGTTATTTCAAATGTAGTTGTTTCTGGAAAGAATGTCCCAAATTTCAGGACACCCATTATTTGACTTATCTGTCTTCCAGGTGATAATTTGTTTGTTTTTTTTCAATATCACATCCCTATACAGTATGTCACTAAAATAGTCCATAGTAGTCCCGTAGCACGCTGAGATTGCGCGAAGTCATCTTCCGGAACTATTTTAATATGGCTGCACGCTAAACGAGCATTGCGCAAAACCGCCTAGGGTAAACATTCTCGTTTGCAAAAAGCGAGTATGAGGCTATATGTCGTTTTTTAGTGTACCAGATACATTATAGTTCAACGTCAAAAGCCCTCCGAAAAACGCGAAAACCCACCTAGAACTGTTGTAACACATATTGTAAAGAAGATCACCTTTGTGATTGGAACGCAAGATTCTGTCAATATACGTGGCTTTATTGGCCAGACAAGAATGGGAAATTATTGACATGTAAACCACAGGATAAGTTTCAGATGTTGTTGATTTGTTCAACTTTCGGATATACAGATGTTATTTTCAGAGGCGTAGAGTCCTTTTCCGTATCATGTATGTTAGTTTGGATACGTATATCTTCCTGGACGGTCTTGAATCCAGTGATGTAGATGGTCATGGGCATTTGTGGTTCTAACAAAGCATTTTACTCAATATTGATTGCAGATGAGTGACCTGTTGGAATTCAAAAAATTTCAATAAAATGGTTAATGCTTATTACGATTTTTCCAAAAAACGACTTGAAAAATAATTTCAGTATCTTGTAAATGAACCATGATCGGACCCAATTTTTCTTCCTGGAATCACTAGGAATCACCCCTTGAAACTTGGTTAGGTACCTAATCAACACACTACATATTTGAAGGTTGAAAAAAGCAAAGAATATTAGTATTTCAGCACAACAAAAAAATCCACATGATACATCACATTTGTCAAAACTGGTAGATAGATGTAACGCATACCTTAATTTGCTTCAAAACTGTTAAACATCCCTTGAGCTATTTCATTCCACAACGGTCTTGTTGAGAACCAGAATTTTAAATCATGAGAATGTCAGTTTTTATAAAAAATGATATATATACATGGTGAGTTTTGGTGTGGGTTCGGTCAATAGATTCATTAATACGCATGGTATCTAAAAAAATTAAATATAGGAATTGTATCCAATAGTATGCTCCGAACATGGCAAACATTTCTGTCTCTATACTGATTCGTAACTACGTGGTGTCACAAATATACATTTTTTTAATGGAATGCCCTACACTTTATTCCAGATTAGGATAGACCCTATTAAACAAAGCAATTTGATATGACACTCGGGAGTTTTGTTTTCAAGTTGTTCAGATATTGGTCAACCTTAACAACTCGAACCTCAGCTTCTGTTAAAGCTGGAGTACTGAATTTTTCTCGGAAAAAATTTGTGATCTTTTATTTTATCCCCATCGACTTACTTTTTGAGTTGCATGACAAGCTTTATACAGGGTGATCAAAAGCGCGAAGTAAACTAATTCTCAATATTTTAAAATGTACACTTTCACATTATTTGATTTCCATTTCCACCATTTTTTCTGATAAAAGCTTTATGAGAATTTGTACTATTGTTCTTTGAGCTACTAAAAACTTGAGGACACCTTCTTCACTTTTCGACTTTATTGCATAACGTTGGGTCGATTTAATTTATAATCAAAGTACACAAATCCTAATGACCTGCTCTTTCAAACTGCGTATTACTTTTCAATTTGAAAGCTGGATCTTTTTTTGCCACGGATTGTCCAAAATTTGGAAACAAAACCCAATGGTAGGTCATACCAAATTGACTATCAGCCCTATCAAAATCTGCAATGAAATGTAGGGGTTTGCATTTTAAATGTATGTATTGGTCACAAAGTAGTTATAATTCACCCAGTAGGAATATAAATATTTTCCAAGTAAGGAACATGTATTCCTAGTTTGATTTCTTTCATATTAGAAACAGTTCGTTAGACCTAAGTTTGTTCCCTCTTCCTTCGCATTTTTGGACGCTTTGAGGAGACTAATTTATGCGTAAAACAAATCCCATCAAATTCCCTATAAAGTTGATCACATCGATATAGCTTATACTTAGTTGGAAGTGTCCAGAACGTTTTGTTGGACATTTTTTAATGACGCCTGTCGGTCAAAGGGTGGCGCAACGTTCCGTGCTACTCTTCCGTACCTAATGCGCTCACTTCCGCTGTGTGGTTAACGAGATAAATGGATGATTGCACTGGAAAGCGGCACCGATTGATGTCCTGCTGATTACTGGCGTTTTTTATCAAAAGCACGGAAAAGGGCTTGTGGGTTAATTTTTTAAGCTAGAATATTTATATTACGAGTACGATAGTAATCCGTAAAAAATGGAATCCTTATTAAAGTCCAACACATTGGATGTATGCTTAATGCTTTGCGTAAGATAATGCTTTGGATGAATAATGAATATATAATTAATTATTGAGAGTAAGCCCAGAGGAATTCCTGCAACCAAGAGGTATTGGTGCATAGGTTTCATGCTGGACCTCTTTCCGTTTCTATGCCCTATATCGAGTCCTACCCTGCTAGTTAAGTTGATTATTCTCTTGAGCTCCAACTTCTTGACGTTCTGGGCATACAAGATATTTTACTCTAGTATAGTCTGCCTGTAGTAAAATTAAGCCTTGCAGCGACATAGAGGGTCATAAGGTCCTCCTCTTCCTCAACCCCATCACATGGTGTGTGAACGTGTTGTGGCAAGATAACAATCCCACCAACAACCTTAGGTTGTTGCCTTTATCTAGGGCTAAGCAAAATCGTCCACCCTGAGACTAAGCCCTGAAAAGAGTTCCCTTACCTGACTGAGAATATTGAATCGAAATCCAATCCTCCTTGTTTCTCCTAACTCTTTGCTCTTGCATACCGAGGATTGGTTCAGGACTTGACCGATCCTTGAATTTGAGCTGGAGGGAAAACTGGTAAAAATTTCCACAGTAAGTATCTAGTAAGTAAGATGTTCTGAGCACCGAGGACATAATTTGGTACAAACGTGTCCCGTCAATACCAGCAGCTATCCATATTCGATGCCGTTCTGTGGAAGAATATGCGATCGACTGGTAACACTTTCTGACTACTAAAGCATCAATTGGTTCGCATCAGAAGAGACTTACTACCAAACACCGAATTCATATCAATACCGGCTGTGTCAACACCTTAATTGTCATTTTTGTGTGCATGTGGTTCGTCGCGCTGGGTGAAGATTCTTAGCAGAAATATTTAAAAAAAAACGAGATCAAGCAAGTGCATTTGCAGTGTATTGCAAAATTATGAGTAGGCTACAAATATCAGCTTACTGTTTTTCCACCTAACTTACCGGAAATTCGTGAGATTGGAAGTGGTGTTATTCAACTGCAGTTTCAGTGACCTTAACTTGAAGTTCTTCGTCTCTCTGGCGATATTTTCTGGAGTCTGCGTACTTTGATCTTGCCTACTGTTGCCACCATTCGCATATGACAACTGAGAATGGGAAGAGTGTAACCTTAGGTTGCTACCCGGTCTGTAATTAAAAAAACTAACATATTTTCCAATAGGGATGAATATGGAAGGTGTAACAGTGTTTCATGGAGTCAGGTCAAAATTATTAACGTACAAACTTGTTTTGCATTGCATATTTTCTTGTACACCATTTTAATCGTTGTTTTTTGCGTGCTATAACATAGTGCCCTGTGCCCAGATGTTGCGCTGTAGATGATCCGCTGTGGATGCCGAGAAAGCGACAGGTATAACGTATCACATGTCAGTAAATTTAATTTTAAATACAGTGCAGGATCGAACTAAGGCTTTCTTAATACTGGGCTGCGCTCGTGAATTGCTACGGAGTGTATTTTGTGTATTAAAAGGAAAAAGGCCGATACGTCAAAAGATTTGTAAAGGGGGACAAACTTTTTAACCAAAGACTACTTCACCCCCTTTCACCCTCGGCTCCCATAATCATGACTTTAAAAATTTTAAGTGAAAAGGGTATTGAGAAATAGCTTGTTTGAAAGGTCTTTTATTTTGACGTTTTATCTTTTAAAATCAGTCGATTCGTTTTCGAGAAAATTGAAAAAATCTTTATTTATCTTAATTTGTTCAGATAGAAAACAAAAACACACGAAAATATCACCTTTTATTTCAATAAGTGTTTAAAATGTTGCCCGTTAGGGTTTCCCAAAACTACAATTCGTTTATAATTTAAAACGGAAACTACTAACATAAACAGCAATTCGGAAGATTAGACGTGGCAACAACCAAATAACAACCTGAATTATTTTTTCGCATTCTTTTCATCAACACAGATATCCTGGGCGGACTGTATTTATTGTTATAATGTTGGACCAGCGAAAGATTGCAAGCCGAAAGAATGCGGACAAAAAATTGCGAAGTTGTCAGATGTTCTACATAAAATGCGGTCCATACATATTAACATATTTAAGATATAGAATTGTTCCGCTGAATTTGGCAATGTAGCTGGAAAACCCAGGCCGCAGGTAAACATCCGGTCGCTGATTGGTCCAAAACTCTTATCTTATCTGAAACTAGAATAACGTGCCGATGGCACGGTCATTTATAAACCTACTCCCATAGGCGTAGGCAGTTGGCAAATACTTTGAAAATATAATTTACTGTTTAGTGGTGATAATGGAATTCAAGCATGGGAAAGTTATTCACAGCCAGGCAAGGGAAATAATAGCAAACGTGATACGTGCTTGCGATGCAGAAGCGGCTAACAATACTTTCGTTTATCCACTGGTAGCTAGAAATGCAAGGGCGGCATATTATACGGGTGTTAGTGAACGAACTATAAGTAAAATTAGAAAAGAAGATAAAGACAGGCAAAATGCAACCTCCACACAGCCTTTAGCTTCTCCCGGAAAAAAGAGATCACGCCCTTCTGTGATCCAAAAAATTGATGGAGTCGATTTTTCCATTATTCGGAGAATGATAGAAAAATTTTACTGTGATTTTAAAGTGGTACCTACTTGTAGTAAACTTCTAATCAAACTGAAGGAAGAAATGGAATTTCCATTTGGTAAAGAATCGTTGAGGCTGCTTTTAAAAGCAAAAGGATTTTACTGGCGTAAATGCCACAACAAAAGGAAATTACTAATGGAAAGACCCAGTATTTTACATTGGCGATACAAGTATCTTAGGTCTATTAAAAAGTTCCGGGAAGAAGGAAGGCATATTATTTATTTGGACGAAACTTGGGTTGATAATGACCTCACTTTCAAGAAATGCTGGCAAAGCGAAGAAATTATGGGTGTCCTGAGCAATATAAGTTCTACAGGTAATAAAGTTTCTTTCACCTCGATTTTGCTTATTATACATTTTTCTCAATTTTGGAATATTCTTAATAAGTGCTCATTTAATTTGTCTAATTGAATACATAATCCCTTGCAAGTATTTTTTTCTCAAAAATATGTTTTTTATACATAGTGATTCAAAAAGGTGTTGGCAAACTTAAAATAACACTAAAATGAGGCTATTTATTCATTTCCAGGACGACTTATAATTGTTCATGCGGGTTCGCAAGATGGTTTTGTTCCTGGAGCCTGTCTCATTTTCAAGGCTGGCTGTGCCACTGGTGATTATCACGGTCAAATGAACCAAGAAAATTTCACGAAGTGGCTTACTGAAAAACTATTTCCTAACATTCCTCCTAATAGTATTATAATAATGGATAATGCACCTTACCATTCAGCTTTGGAAGACAAGCCTCCAACTAGATCTTCTCTAAAAAGAGACATCATCACGTGGTTGAGCAAAAAAGGTATAGAGCATGATCCTAATGCTAAAAAAATGGAGCTTTATGAAATAGCTTGTCTACATAGGCCACCATCTGATGAGAAAAATTATAAGATAGATAATTTAATAAGAAGTTTCGGACACACCCCACTTCGAACGCCACCCTATATGTGTCAGTTTAATCCCATAGAGATGATTTGGGCACAAGTAAAATTTTTCATTAGAAGCCATAATACAAGCGGCGAATTTACTATAAAAAAACTAGATGAAATTTCTAATAAGGCCATCGCTTCAGTAAGTGCCAGTGACTGGCAAAAGGTTATTGGACATGTTATAAAAATTGAAGATGAATATTGGGAAAAAGACAGTCTCATTCAAGAAATACAGGAAGAAATAATAATCAACATAGGAGGTGAAAGTGATAGCAATGACAGTTCCTCAGACAGTGATCATGACTCTAATCAGGATTGAAACTATACTAGATTGGCTACCTTTTAGAATTTTTAGATATTCATTTATTATACTATTGGTTTGTGGCTTTTAGTATCTCAGTAGAAAGTCTAATTCTATGTGTTGTTTATGGGTTATTTCATCAAGAAATTACTTTTTGTTTTCCTATATTTTTCTATTCAGTCAGATATTTTTGACTTGTTGTATTCTATTTTAGAAGAATGCATAATTTGTTTTGCTGTTCAATCATAATGCGTACATAGGAATATTACTTGTTGCCTAAAAAATATATTTATTTTGTTCTCAATATTCAGTGTTTGTGTATATTTATTTCTTATAATGTATGTTTGGTATCACGTCATTATGAATCGCAAAAAAATATTAATACTACCAGTTGTAATAAAATATAAATTCAATTAATAATTCAAGTCTCTCCGATCTCCGCCTATGACTCCATATAAAATCGTCTAATGGTAAGGTTTTTTCATCGCATTTCCCCCTTTCGTCCCTAGCAATCTTTGGCTGGTCGATCAATACCTACCTGTTTAGTTATTTGTTGCTAAGGGAAAGAAGGAATCTAATTTGCTGTCAGTTACCTTTGTGACAATGTTTTACACAATGATTTACACATTAGCCGAAGGAGTGGAAATGATTTTAATTTGTGGTGCTCAATATCAATGTGCCCGGCAAACTGCCGTCACGTTTAATGCCTGACATCCGGGGAAGATAACTTTGCATAGGTATGTTTTGGACCTTGTTATTAAATTTGCTCAAACTGGATCTGTTGCAAATAAAAACCGTGATCATCGGAGAGTTTTGGATGATTTTGGCATAAATCCTAATACTTCATTACGCAAAATTGTTGCTGCTACTGGTATTTCATTAGGCTCTGTACACACAGTTACGAAACTCCATAAATCCAATATTGCAAGAGTTAAGCGAAGATGATTTCGATAGGCGAGTTGAGTTTTGTGAAGAAATGGCTGCAGCGATTAATGATAATACCATTCATGTAAAGAATATCTGCTTCAGTGATGAATGTACATTTTATCTAAACGGATTTGTTAATAAGCATAACTGCAGGTATTGGGGCAATGAAAATCCTCATGCTTTTGTAGGAGGGTATATACCCAGTACCTTCAGGAAATTCATGTATGGGCAGGCATTTTAGGAAGCAAAGTGATTGGGCCATTGTTTATTAATGAAAATTTGAATAGTGACATTTCTTTGGGTATGTTGGAAAACGCCATCAATCCGCTTATCACTGAAACCATTGAAAACCAAATCAAAGAGGATGGAAACCCTATACTTCATGAGGCTGAAATATATTTCCAGTTAGACGGCGCTCCTCCTATGTTCTTCCGGTTCGGCAATGGCTAGACGACGAGCTTCCAAACAAATAGATAGGGCAAAGAGGGGCTATAGAATGGCCTGCTAGATCTCCTGATTTGATGCCATAAGACTCTTTTCTATGGGGTCATTTGAAATCTATTGTGTTTACGCCCCTCACCTGAAAGTTTGGATGAACTTTGTCAACGCATCATCGAAAGCTGCCATGATATCCCACAACATGTTTTTGAAAATGTCTGCCAGGAATTTGAACATCGCCTATATGATTGTTTGGCCAATAACGGGAAACATTTTGAACACTTATTGAAATAAAAAGTGATATTGTCGCGTGTTTTCGTTTTCTATCTGAACAAATTAAGATAAAACCAGCTATTACTGGACATCCTTTGTCATTTAAACTTTTCAAGGGGACGACCCTGGGGGGCAGAGGGTGAACAGGCGTGAATTAGTTTTTGGTTGAAAAGTTGTCCCGCTTGAAACATCTTTTGAGGTGGCTCGGCTTTTTTTCCTTTAATGGGTGCTTTTCGATAAATCCGTGGTGGGAAGTTTTCAAATGAACACCCTGTATATTCTTCACGATAAATAATCTATTTCGTGTCAATAGCGTTTCTTATAATAAGAAAATGGTCTCAGAAAAACGTAGTTAGAAATTAGGAAGCTATCATCAAGTGTTACTTCATGACTCTGCAATGACTTAGGCGTTGGTAAAATAATGTTACAAAATATTCAAAAGTAAAATTTTATCTGTCAATATACATTCCATTACTGTGTACGGATTACATTGCCAAGTAACTTACAAACGCACCCCTAGTGTAAAATTCAAGTCAGACCTGTGTGAATATGATACTAATGTGTCATACACATATACTTGTAATGTCACGTATTCCTGTTAAGGGGTGATAGATTAGGTCAAAAGCAACCGATTTTGTCCTATAATGTACTATCCAGAAGTTAACCATTTTTGAGTTATTTGAATTTTATTTTTTTTAGTTTTTATTCCGATTTCAGACGGTTAAATTTGAAATACAAAAAACTACATGTTTGATTTTGAGTTTTTTGTTATCGTCGCATAGCGTACATTCCAATAGTTCATAATAAGTAATAAAATGTTAAAAACTTACAAAAATTTTAAAATTACGCTTTTGAAATGGATGACTTTCTTATTTTTTTTACTAACTTATTCGATAAAGAATGCAATTTTCTGTAAAAAATCTCCTAGTAATGAAATGTGCAAATTATGTAAATAATATCTCTATCTAACAAGCTTTCATTTGAGGTATAAAAGTTACAACTAACTCTAGTACAAAGACATAAAATTAAAAAAAGATGAGTAAAGTTGTACGAACGATAATTACGTAGGATAAATAAAAGGCTTTTATTTTAATTACAGTTTTATTTAATTACATTTCCTTTAGTATTTTACAGATTCTGCTCAAATTGTAATCCCCTGTTACGAATACACGCCCGCATTCTCTTACGTAATTCACTTTTGGTAACTCTAGTTGTTAAGCGGCTTTTTATTTGGTCAGCTGCACTTATTATCCTTGTAATTAATTAATCGCGCGTTGGTACGGGCGAAACATCGTACACCAGGCTTTTCATATGTCCCCACACATAGTAATCCATCGGTGTGGGATCTAGGCTTCTTGCAGGCCAGGCAATGGGCCCGCCTCTGCCAATCCTTTGATTTGGAAATTTAGAGTCTAAATACGCCCGTACTAATCTACTGTAGTGTGTGCGAGACAGCCGTCGTGCTGCAACCGCATATTTTGTCTCGTCGCCAATGGGACGTCTTCCATCAATGGAAACAAGTGATTTTTCAAGAACTCTTCATACACTTCTCCATTTAAATTGGCGGGCAGAAAATGAGGTCCAATTAAATATCCATCAATGATGCCCATCCACACATTGACTGAAAACCGGCTCTGAGACACCGTCGGTCTTATTTTTCGGGGGTTTAAAGCTTCTTTATCAGCCCAGTAATGAGCATTATGGTAGTTAGTGATCCCGTCCTTATCAAACTTCGATTCATCGGTCCACAGAATTTTCGTAAAATAGTCTGGATCTTCTGTATCTGCATGTAACATATACCTGCAGAAATCTAATCGTCTTGCAGGATCGCCCTCTTCAATCACATGCACAGGCGTGTAGTGATAAGCAGTATGCACAGTAAACCATACTTTGTATTGCGATATACCCAACTGAGCAGCCACAATGCGCGCAGACATAGTAGGGTCTTCCTGAAACACACGAAGGATTTCCTCTTCATCTTCAGGTGGATAGACTCGGTGTCGACCAGCATCACTATGTTGCCTTTGAACACGTCCGGTTTGGCGGATGCGCCGATATACAGAGTCAAACACAGTAACATGAGGTGTTCGGCGATTCGGGAAACGTTGCCGATATTCACGACGGGCAGCTGCAGAATCACCGTTACAAAGTCCATAACAGAACATTATGTCTGCGTATTCTTCATTTGTAAAAGTTTCCCCGTGCTCGCTATGGCGAGGTCCTGGCGGATCTTCTGCGTCTGCCATGATGATAAAGAAACCACTCGAAATGAACTGGGAAACTCGAAAATAATAATCCTGCTTAAAACGTGTGCGCGTACACAGTAGTTGATACCAACTAAACCTAATTCTCACTCGGCGTGCGGCGATGGCGTAACTACAATGATGAATAATAACAGCTCTCTCTCACTCCTCCACTAAGTCAGCTCTTCTCGCTCGTTTCCTCGTCGAGCTGATGCCATAAAACAATCATGGCATCCGAGTCCTTTGAAGACAGTAACGACTTGTTCAAACAGGTAATACAAATTCCTTAAAAATCCAGCATCTGTGGGTGTCATTGTTGTTTCTCTGCATGTACTTCAGATAATTGAACGCTTAATACCTCAAATGAAAGCTTGTTAGATAGAGATATTATTTACATAATTTGCACATTTCATTACTAGGAGATTTTTTACAGAAAATTGAATTTTTTGTCGAATAAGTTAGTAAAAAAAAGAAAATGATACATTTAAAAAGCGTAATTTTAAAACGTTTGTAGCTTTTCAACATTTTATTACTTATTATGAACAATTGGAATATTTGCTATGCGACGATAACAAAAAACTCAAAATCAAGCATGCAGTTTTTTAGTATTTCAATTTTAACCGTCTGAAATCGGAATAAAGAATAAAAAACTTAAAATTCAAATAACTCAAAAATGGTTAACTTTTGGATAAGACATGATAGGATAAAATCGGTTGCTTTTGACCTAATCTATTACCCCTTAACAGGAATACGTGACATTACAAGTCACCCACCCTGTATACTTCGAAGGATAAAACTGACATAGCTGTCAATTGTCTTGGACTGATTTGTAAACGGGAAGCTATACGCTGCTATTTGAAGAGTTCTCATAAGGCAAGTGGCGTGACATTTTTAAAACTGTGAATAAACGTGATTTTGCTTGATCTCCTGCTATTTATAACCTGATATTGGATTCCAAAGAAGCTGTAGTTGATTGTGTTAGCTTAAATCTATGATATTAGTTAAATCCATATTCAAAAAGAGCCCACCTTTCACCTGACCCTTGCGTCCTCCACAAACCATGCTCAACCTGTTTCTCCCTCTCCGCCTCCCCTTTGGGCGGTGCTTGTTGCTGGTCCGCGCAATACATTCGTCCGCCCAGCCTTCGGAAATGTTCGGCATTCTCCGCCGAATGCTGTGCGGCGAAACGCGCCTTCTTGCGTAGCAGTTGAACTGTCATGGCGTACGTGGCAAGCATGATCACCATGGGGACGTAAAACGCTATGACGGAGCCGAATACGAAGAAGGCTCTGTTGTTTATCACGCATTGGCCGTCTGTTGGCATTATGTTCTCTGGGTTAATTATACCTGCAAGAAAGGATCAGTCTTGTTGTAAAGATACTACATTTATGAGGTGCAATGATGACTTTTCTGTATACAAGGTGTTACAGAAAATCCTGGCAATATTTTTAAAAGTAGATAGAAAAATAACATGAACAGTTCTTATAAACATCCGACCTAGAATGCTTCTTTAGTTGAAGTTACAGTTTTGAATTCGAAAAAAGTTATAAAGATATTGTATCAAAATTTTTGTTTACATCGTAGTTTCATATATCTACACCAATGGTATAGAAATGGGGAGATTTTGACCCCTACAGAGGGAAAGAAAATTACTGTCCACGCCACTGACTATTTTGAAACATCTAATGCATTTCTAATACGATATTCAATTTTAAATTAATCAGCTTTGTTGGGAAATCTCGTCAGACTATCTCTTTCGGTCTAAATATTTAAAGGAAAATTCATATGAAAAATTCACTTGGTCAATTTTTGTGAACTAGTGGAGTAATCCTATCTGCCCTTTGAATACTATCAGGTAACCAAATAAGTTCGTGCGGTTTTTAGTCGAAAAATATAATTTTTTATTGAGAAACGATAAGACACTATTTATTCGTCGAAGTAATTACCATCATATTCAATGACCTTTTGCCAACGTGGAACAAATTTTTGTTTGCCGGTATTGTAGAACTCCCTGGATTTAGAGTAAAAAAATTGGCGGACTGCATTTATTACATCATCTCGAGCTGTGTCTCATAAAGTTGTCAAGAGACAAAAAAGGTGATAATCACTGGGCGAAATGTCGGGAGAATATGGCGGGTGCAGTAACATTTCCCAATCGAGTTCAGAAATTTTTTCGTGGGTCACTTTTGCGGTATGAGGCTTGGCGTTATCCTACAAGAATATCACTTTCTTCCGATTGATCAAAGAAGGCTGTTTCTGGTTGAGTGCTGCTTGTACTCGTTGAAGCTGCTCACAATACAAGTTAGCAATGATGGTTTGACCCGTTTCCAAAAACTCATAATGGACAATTTCAGTTGCTATCTACCAAACACACAAGAAAACCTTGTTTGGGTGCAAGAAAGCCTTGGGCGTGTGTAGTACCGAATCAGTAGGCGACAACCAATGATACGAATGCTTAGAATTCGAATACAAGATCCATTTTTCGTCGCAGGTTAATAACCGATTAAGAAATGGTTCATAAGTGTTGCGTGAAATGTTTGCTGAACAAATGGTAAGACCACTTAATTTGTTATCATTCGTGAATTCATGTGGGACCCATTTGCTTAACTTCCACGCCTTTCCTAGCTGATGAAGATGCAAACGAATAGTTTCAGGACTCACCTATTTTTTGCGCGGCTGCTGCAGCTTTTGTACCAAGTTTGTACTCATACAGTAAACAACTTCGAATTACTGTTTTATTCGTCGCCATTTTCAATTATTATATGTAACAATTTTCAGCAATATAAATATTAGGAGCTGTGATTGTACGATCTTTCTGAAACACCCTATATGTAAAAGTAATTCTGTACGACCTATTTTTGAGCATTGGTAAGATAAGCAATACAAATTTTGCGCAACAATTAGTCTCCGATACGGAGATGAAGTTGCACTGTGGTGCAATGCTTTCAAACCGAACTCAAATAATAAATTAATTCCTATATAAAATGCGAATTGTAGCAAGAATTTCTGAGCATTGCAGATGGTTGGATTTATTGCAAAATGTTAAAATTTCGAGAGAACACTTCGGTAAACATGAAAAATGTGCATGAAGTACTGAGATACAAAATTGTTCATGAAGAATATCTTTCGCTGGTTTAAGCACAATAAATAGGGAAAACAAGAGTTCTTATGAACTAAAGCGAGCCATGGTAATTTGACAGAACTGACTACTGACAATATTATGAGAGGTTACCTATTTTTATTCTTTTGTCGTGACGCGAACCTCAAAATTTCAAAATCTTCGAAGAGTTTCTCATCTTAAAGTTTTAATGTTTGTGATAAACTGGTCGAGAAATTGATAGCTCTGGAATCATAGATTCAGAAAACGATAGCTGACCACAAAACTGGTAAAGTTTGGATAAAAAGCTCCATTGGATATATGACAAGCATAAGACAATTTAATTTATTTAAAACACAGCCTTCATTTTTATTAGAGATCCAAAATTTACATTTCTGTTATCTTTTAACCAATATGCTTCCCCAGCTTTACAATACTGGCAACACTGCTGAATAAGTAAGAAATAGCCTTACGAAATGAGGCCTTCCTTATCCTCCGTTACTAATGGAGCTCTTTATTTCGGAGAACGAATTATTGTCTCGCTACTGCGCAAACTCGAAATAACTATGGTCATGATAAAGCAGTAAAATAAGTGCATTAAAAACTCTACTAAGAAGCAATTCTTAAGTGAGTCCTCTTAACATCTGTAAGACATGATCGCACACACACATGCCATCCAGCACACATCAACGAGGTCGTGAACCTTCATGTTTTATAGATTTTTCAGACACCTCCCTGGACTTTTTCAAAGCATAACCTGACATTGGTCAAAACATCAGAAAATTTTTCAATTCTACGTCTGAAAAATCAAAATAATCAAATTATCATTATTTGGGGTACACTAGGCAGCAGCGGTGGCATGTTGCATGCACACGTGTTCCCTCGCCAGAGTCCGTGTGGCATTCCCCTATAGCCCCGCGGTACCCCATGGTTGTGCAGGCCTTAGGCCTTCGTGGTGGTTGGAGTATAAAAAAAAATTAAAAAAAAACTTGCTATCCAATATCCATAAAATTAATTTTTTTTACTTCAAAATGATATAAGTATGTTGCACTTATCAATCCTCTTTTCATTTGAATACAGTTATTCGGCGGTAGATTAGGGGAACCTGGAAAATGAGCGCACCCCGAGCAAAGCGAATTTCCCAATTTGCATCCAGACATGATTCGACTGAAGATATTCGTTCAACCTTCCTCAATCAGTTATAGGAGAATCTGCGTCCTAATTTGGCTACCAGACAATAAAATGTGTTTATTCAATAAAAAGATTGCTGTGATAAGATATTTGTTGTTTGTATAATTCGAATTTTAAACTATCTATTTGAACGGCTTGTTAAGATATGTACCTAACCTTTTGATAGGAAACAAGTTAGTACCTTTGGGTAGAGCGGATAGGGCAAAGTTGATACTGTATTCCCACGAAGCCTTATTTTTGTTGTTATTGAGTTAAAAATTGGTATTTTGGTGCAAATAGTATGTGCATACTAAAAGAAAAGCAGATCAAGAGCAACTACGAGGTTTTTCTGATCAGTACATATATTTTTGTATAAAGCTAGGCTCTTAGCAATCTGTGATATGTATTTACCTTACCCAGAGCTCGGGCAAAGTAGTAACTTGCATTTTTCTTTGTTATCTACTTTCTTGATAGTTGCACCCAACGAAGAATTATTTTTTATTTTTTGATGGTGGGTCATTAAAGAATCATTTCAGATATCTCCCCAAATTCTATATAGGTAAATTGATAATCCTGTAGTAATAGCGAAAATCTTATTGTGTTCTCTGCTCATTGGCCTTCCTATTTATTTCTATTGCTCTTAGTACCATATTGTGCAGCCATCTCTTAGGGACGCTTACCTAAAACTGTGATTGAGCTGGAAACTAACATGGATAAGAGCCACACCAAAGCTATCCTGAGCACAACTGTTCTCGTAGTAGTACTGTGCCTGGTCTTCAGAGGATTTCGGATGCCCAGGTACCTTCCAAGGCTGATGAAACACATATGCATGATGGATGCAGAACATGCTAGAACGTCACAGGTAACGTAGACGTTGCACCATACTAGACCGAATGGCCAAGTGCCTGGAAACAAAAACCTCATTATAGTTCAGGACGTATATTCGCACCTACTAGGAATAATATTCTGTTTGAATTTTTTTGCCTAATCGTATTCAAAAAGGACTTTTTTCAGCAAGTCCCTATATTGCCGGTCGAAAATTATGCCAAAAGTTGTTCAAACAACTTTTTTACAAATTCCAAATATGATTTGTTTTGCCCAGGACAAAGTTTTTCAGATTTTTTGGGATATTATGAATAAAAAAGGTTGTAATGCACTTTTCTCTAAAGTTCATAGTTTATGAGATAAAAGCGATTTAATATTTGAAAAAGTTCGAGTTATGCCGTATTCGACCCCGAAAAACCATATTATGAAAAGCAAATTTTATTGTTGTCAAACATTCACATCGCATCCATTAGGGAAAGCCCAAATCATCTAAGGGACTATTGTCAATGTAAACTTTGATTTCTTAATTGTGAATTAATGTATACTCACAATACAGGGGCGGTTGCAATATCATATCATCATCATGAAAGCGCTGCACCTTTGGACTGCTTTATGTTCGCTGAACGCTTTCTGTGACACAAATTGCGACGCGACGATGGGTAAATGCCATTTTTGTATTATTTGATTTCATTTATGTTTTCAAAAATATAGTTGTGATTATATTTATACTTAAAAAGAATGACCCATAAACAGAGGGGATAACACATATACAGACTGCAACAAAAGTTTGGAACTCATCGAATATTTAGTGAATGACACATTTATTTTTTGTTTAAATTGGTAGGTTCAAATTCGAAACCATGGCGGATCCGTTGATGATATCCGCGATATTTTTCTTATGGAATGCTATTCATTTCGATATTTTTTGTATTCTGCGAGAAATTCTGAATACTACTTTTTTTTCTAATGACTACTTGATTTGAATAGCAGTGTTCTATGCCCTGAGGCGTCGATTCTCACATTTTACTAGCGTCATCTTTGATGTGATTGATCGAAAATTCCAAAAATATCCAAGAGTGAGAAATTGGCTAATTAAAAAGCTGCTTGCCTGAAACATATTTTCTCTTTTATCCTGTGAACCCTCACAAATGTGATTATAAAAACGAGCGTTTGGGTGTTTCCCAATGCAGCCCCCGATTTCGCCTTGTCTGATGAGAGTAAAACATTTATAAGCAACGTTTTAAGATAAAATTAAAATGCGCATCGGGATCTTGACGGTGAGTTTTAAGGAATTAATTTACGTGCTAACCTCAAAGTACATCAAATAAGCATGGACAGAGAAAAGCAATAGTAAACTCGCTTTTGAATTTTTTCAATGTTATAATTTAATAATAATAGGACTTTATTCACGCAGTACAGAGTAGAGTTATTATTTAATTGGAGACTCTGCGTGACAGTGATATGGAGACGCTCTCCTGCATGGGATTCCGTCAGTTGTTATTCGATGCCAAGAGACAGAAATTCGTCCTGGGATATCAAAAGACATGTTGTGGGTCTACGGGACATCTCCCTTTTTCCAAGCTATACCTCGGTATTGTTAGATACTTCTTACTTCGATCATAGGATATATTTATCTTTTATTTTGTGCTGAGAAAAACATGGTACAAAGTTGAAACGAAAAATTTACTTTAAAAACGTCGACATTGGGAACATTTAGGTTTTCCACCATCACCTTTTAATACGAAGCAACTTAAAAAAGACTTTCTTAATACTATTTTTGCACTGCCTAAGGTTAGTAGAGAAGGAAAACAGCCTCCTCAGGGAGACTGTTCCACAATCTCGTTACCCTAAGGACAAAGGAGCGGTCGATTGGGCCAGTTATGGATGTACGAAATGGTTAGGATTTGATGCCAAAGTTAGGCAGATCTGCCTGACAGGTCCATAGCGCCGCGTTTCATGGAGGAGAGCCCTAAGGAGCAAACCCTGCTGATATAGCGGTAGAAGAGAGCTAGATTGCCGATGGTCCGTTGCTACGAAATATTTCCGAGGCTGTGCATTAAAAAAAGATCATCAATCAGTCAGATAGCCCTCCTGTGATCAGCGTCTAGCTTGGGTAATATAGTCGGGGCGGAAAATATGTGAGCAGTGCCCGAAACTGGGACTTATTTGGGCCTTGTACAGAGTGAGGAGGTTATGTGGAAAAAAATACTGTTTAACCCTAAACAAATTATCCCATTAGGTGCCGCTATTGATGAGATATATCCGTGTCAGATCAAGTCCTCGGTGATCTGGACTCAACCAGCCGAAATAAATAGTTCTTTGGTAGAGCTCGGCCATACATCGCTCGGGCGATTTTTGTTAGACAGTGCACAGTACTATGCTTTGAAAGCCTTCAACTGTACCAGATTGTTGCATACCCAAGTAGTGAAAACCTCCAGGCCTTTCGCCAGAGACTCTGAATTCCTGCATGTACAATGCTGTCTTCCCCAAAGCTCTGGATCGGATTGATGTCATAGGAAAGGTGGTCGTTGATATGTAAGAGGAAGAATATCTGAGTCTAGATCGATGCCTGGTGGACACCCGCCTTGACATAAGGACTAAAAGCAAAGTAAAGTTTATTCAACAAAGATAATAATACCATGAATACAAATGCCTGTACAGATCAAGGATGGTAATTAAACAGAAAACTCACAGAAGCAAGTTTATGTGTGGTCTTGCACAATTCACAAATAAACTTCTGCTACGAATTAAATAGATATCCCACTATTCTACGCTGTGGGCTGAAGAGGAGGACCCGTCAACTACGATGGATATCTTTCAGCCAGTAAGTAAGTCAGCCACCCATCGCCAAAGTTCCTCTGGGAAGGCATATGTTGGAAGTTTCATCAGAGGGGAGCATGCCACAGCTGCCATCTCTACATTCATTGCGATTCACCATATTTTTTCCCGGGCGGCGCTCCATACATAATAAAAAATACACACATGAATTGTATAATATCATATATTACAAGCTCACTACTTTCAGGTCACTGGCTATTGCGAAAAAATGCAAGCTTTGAATCCCGGACGGGTTTAGTGGCGCATAAAAATTAACAAAGTGCTACGGTTCTATTTTTGCGATTTTTGCCAGCTCCTCTTCGAATAGGGCATGCGTCTGTTGGAGCTCGCACAGAGTCATTACTTTTTGTCAGGGAGAGTCAAAAGCACACCGCTCAAAGGATCCACGGAAATGTAATCAACACTGATATGATCCATCGCGCAGCTCTTATTCGACTAGAATTTACCACGATAGAATGAGAGAAAGCTTGTCTTTACAGTGTAGAAGTTTCTTCAAAATTTTATTGTAAATCAAGTCGAATGAGTATACACGTAAGAAATGAATCTTAAGAACTCATATACAAACAATAAGAAGAATAACTACAACAGTAACAGTCTCCCCCATAGTGATACCAGCTCCTTCAGATTCGTATTGGAGAGAGCTTATCTCAAATCTGCTTTAAAAACGATAGTGACGCAAATATTGTTTATGTTATTTGAAAATCTTTCATTAGGCCAACTGTAATTCATGTCAACATTATTTCGTTTCATTGGGCAAAACAACAATATTGAACTGAGTAAGCCAAATGTCTATCATCAATTAATGACTACCTTTTTAAGTACATTGTCGTTCGTTAATTGATACAAAATATCAAGGATCCAGCGCTTGGGAAATGTATCTTGTACCACTGTAGAGCAGACAGGCAGAATGCAGAGGAAACCTTTCAAGTGCTTATAGTACCCGTACATCCCATTTGCCTTTGAGATTTGCGTAATTTCGTGGAAGCCCAGAAAAATGGCGTCAAGTAGATTGACTGTGTACTTCACTCGGCTTCGCTAAAAAGCATGATACTCAATCCTAACACCCAAATAATACTGGATTATGAATTCAATATTCCTCACTAGCGGCACATTAGTCGTCAAATTGATCAGATTAACTGTATGGCTAAAAAGGTTGTTGTTGTGCTACCTATACAAGAGTAACTGAAGTGGACTTCGAATATTATATTTTTGATTTGATTAACTGGATTATGGAATTATGCTACGTTATGGTTTTTCAGAAGTATTTGGTGTCATTTAAAACTGATAAGCGATTGAGTGTTACAATGGGTGGTTCGCTTAGCCCAGCTCGATATTTGTTCAAACATGTATAAGAAAATAACTAATGGTTCTAAATAATTAATCAAAAATTGTAATTCTATTTTATTTTATGAATTTGATACCTTTGTTTTTAATTTCACTAGAAATTGCATAAAGAATATACTTCATTTTCCAATATAATTCTGTGGCAAATTGTTGAAAGGGCATAGGTCAATTTTTTCGAGTTGATTACGTTTTTACTCTAACATTGTGACCTTGAATTATTATAAAAAACTGTTGGCTTGAATAATGACGTATTCAGAGTAAAAGTTACAAAGTTCTCAATAGTGGGTCCTATCTAACATTTGGTTCATCATAAACAAAAAGGTCTGAGAAGATAAATATATCTGTTTATAGCTCTCATGTAGTTACATATTTGTATTCTTGGCAGTTCTATCGTTGTTGAAAAAAGAACGGGTACTATTTTATATTAGGAATACCTTAAGATGGCCACTATATTTGTGATGACCGATTATATCCTTCCTATCAGTTCCATGGAATAGTTTATACTGATTGTCAGGTATATATATCAAAAGTACAACCTAGATCAAATATCTCCATTACGTATCTGCTGCAAGATTTGAGTTGGAGCAGGAGAGCCATCCAACTATAACAGATTTTCAACTGAAAATAGTAAATCTACAACTACAGCTTGTGTATTTCATGGAACTCCGTTAATACTGATAATTCATATGGCCTTCATCCCCACTAGGAAAGAAATATTCCCACCAAAAAAGTGTCAACCGACCGAAGGGAGTAATAAAAGTAATGTTGCTTGCCATTTACTGTTTGCCCTTTGTTTCATTCAAGCCGACTAACGAAATCAAGACCGGTATTCACAAATAATTTAGTGATCCTGAGTGTTAAGTGTGAGCTTACTGTTGAAATAATTTCAAGATTCAGATA